GCAGCCATGGTTCCAGGTGAGGATGTGGCTGGGAGGGGCAGAGGGTGGGTGTGCGTGCATGTGTGTGTGTGTGTGTGTGTGTGTGTGTGTGTGTGTGTGTGTGTCGGCCTCTGTGGCCGCCAGGGGGCAGGCAGGGATTGCAGCCGAGGCCCCCTGACGGTGGCAGTGTGTGTGTGTGTGTGTGTGTGTGTGTGTGTGTGTGTGTGTGTGTGTGAGGTGGGGGGAGACAGTGTGTGTCTCTGTGTGTGAATGAAGCGCTCAGGACCACTCCTGATCCCTCAGGACGGGGACACCCTGGATCATTGCGGTTGTCCCCCCTTGTTGGACCTTGTCACACACATGGACACAGACAGGGATGCCCAAAGTCACACATGCTTCCCTGTAAGCCAGGTCCCTCCCGCTTTCCTGGCACTGAGGGCACTGTGGGGGCAGAGGGCGGGGGTCATCCTCTTTGGGGGTCTTGCACCCTACGGGCGCTGAGCAGTGTTCCCACCCCCACTCATGTGATGCCAAGAGTGCCCCCAGCCCTGACAACCACCAGCTTCCCCAGACATAAGCTGGTGTCCCCTGGGGGCAGAACTGTCCCCAGGTGGGAATCTGCTTTAGAGACACACACCGAAGCGTCTATGGATGAAAGGCTAGGATTTTGCTTCAAAATATTCCTAGGCAGAATGTACCAGCTGAAGGATTTGGGAGAAAGTGTCCTGATACGGCCCCTCATGTTTTTATTTTTTAAGTAAGGTTTATTGGGTTGAACCTGTGAATGTTTGGAAATAGGGCTTTTGCTCTTGTTAATCAAGTTAAGGATCTTGAGATGAGATCATCCTAGGTGGCTTAGGTTGGCTCTAAATCTAATGACAATCGTCCTTATAAGACACACACACACACACACACACACACACACACACACACACGGGAAATCTGACAGAGAAGACCAGGTATGGATGGAGGTAGAGATGGAGGGTCTTGTGGCCTCAAGCCCAGGGGTGCCTGGAGCCCCCAGAGGCTGGTCAAGGTAGGAAGGACCTCCGGAGGGAGCGTAGCAAGCCACACCTGGATCTCGGGCTTCTGGCCCCAGAGCTGGGAGACGATGGATTTCTATTGTTTCAAGTCACCCAGTTTGTGACCATTGGTTACAGTCGTCCTAGGATAAGAACACAGACGCTTATTGAGAATTACTCATTGCAGAGAAATTCACCCTTTTAAGTAGACAGTTCTGTGAATGTTGACAAAAGCATGTAGCTTTTTAATCACCACCATAATCAAGAAATAAAATCTTGGGGCGCCTGGGTGGCTTTGTCGGTTAAGTGTCCGACTCTTGGTTTTGGCTCAGGTCATGATCTCAGGGTTCGAGGATTGAGCCCCACGTTGGCCTCCACGTTCAGTGAGGAGTCAGCTTGTTTCTCTCCCTGCACCTCGCCCTGCTTCTGCTCTCCCTCCCTCCCTCTCTCAAATACATTTTTTTAAAAATCCTAAAAATAGGGCGCCTGGGTGGCTCAGACGGTTGGGTGTCTGCCTTCAGCTCAGGTCATAATCCCAGGGTCCTGGGACCGAGTCCCGCATTGGGCTCCCTGCTCCTTGGGAGCCTGCTTCTCCCTCTGCCTCTCTCTCTCTCATGAACAAATAAAATCTTTTTTAAAAATCCTAAAAATAAAAAAGAAATAATATCTTTTTTTCACTGCCAAAGCCCCCTGACACCTGTTCCCTCTGCCCCCAGCCCCTCCCAGGAAAGGATCCAATTTGTCCCTTACCCCTTGGTCTTTTCTGGGGGTCGCACACCTGGAATCACGCAGTACGGGGTCAGCGTCTTCGCTCAGCAGAGTTCCTGGGAGAGTCAGCCATGTTCTTGTGAGTGTTAGAGATTCGCTCCTTGTTATGCCCCCTGGCATTCCCCTGTGTGGACGTTCCACGGTTTTCTGGTCCCTCTGCCGGTCAAGGGACATTTGGGGTGTTTTCTGTTTTTCGCGACTGTGAGTTGTGCTGCCGTGAACAGGCGTGTGCAGGTTTTTGTGTGGATGGAAATTTCCTTTCCTCTTGGGTAATATCCAGGAATGGGATGGCGGGATCACTGGGCAGTTCTGGGTCGAACATCTTGGGTATCCGCAGCCTCTGCCTGTGACGTTTGAGGGTTCCAGCTGTCCTGCAGCCTCACCAACACTTGGTCTTGTCCGTTTGGGGGCTTTTGTTGTACCGTTCAACACACACACACACACACACACACACACTGAATTGTGCCTGAATACAAGAAAGGAGGGATGTTTGCACATATGGGAAATACAGTAAAATGTTAGTCATAAGAACGAGGTATTGAGGGGCGCCTGGGTGGCTCAGTCGGTGAAGCGTCTGCCTTCAGCTCAGGTCATGATCCCAGGGTCCTGGGGTTGAGCCCCGCCCGGCAGGGAGCCTGCTTCTCCCTCTCCCTCTGCCTGCCGCTCCCCCTGCTTATGCACTCTCTGTCAAATAAATAAATAAAATCATTAAAAAAAAAAAAAGGAACGAGGTATTGAGCTTTTGCTACAAAATCCTTTCGAGTCTTCTTTGCATTTGGAAATGTTCATAATATGGCCAGCCCTCATGGGAGCCTAGAGGGCACTTCCAGGGGTCCTGGCCGAAGGGGGTCCCTGGGGAGCTGTCCCCACCCTGCCTAGGGCTCTCCTCTCCCAGAGACTCCCAGACTCATGTGGATGCCTCTTGACTTGAATTGCAGGGGTGGGGGCTTCAGGGCAACCTTACCAGAAGCTGGTGCTCGGAAGGGAGCAGGCCCGCCTCCCCTGGGACCAGAGGTCCGTTACTCAGATGGGGCCTGGGACTCAGAGACACGTGATGGCCAGCCGGACACACGTCCAGGCCGGTGCAGAACTGAGATTCCAGAACATTATTGGGTGTAAGTCCCCATTCTATAGTTGGGGAACTCAGGGAAGGCCAGATTGCTGGGTGGCCGGGTCAGGGATGAGGGTCACACCATCTCGGTGTAGCCAGGCCACTATCACCTAATTGTATGTGGTGGTCCAGAGCATGTGGCCCTAGGCTGGGGGCCATTATACTACAGCCTCATAGTCCTGTCATCATCTTCCGTAAGCGGAGATATGTGCTTTCTGCCCCAGGGCCTTGGCACTTGCTGTTCCCACGGTTTGGAACACGCTTCCCCCAAGGGTCCAGGTTGCCGCTGAATTGTCACCTCCTCAGAAGCACCCCCTCCGACCCTCCTGGCTAAGCACTCCCCACCCCGACACCCACACATCACCCCATGAACTCAGGGTGCAGGATGCTGCCGATGTACCCTACCGAAGACGATTGTACAAGGTTGCGCCCTGGTTCTCACCCACAAGGACTGCCTTCTCCTACCTGCCTCCTGGGCAAGCTAGAGGAGGCCCTCTCTCCAGGCCACCTGAAGGGTGGCAATGATAATCATGGTTGACAAATGCTGACCCAAAGTTCACTGCTGGCTGGCCCGGAGGCAAGGTCCTTCCTCCTTCTCACCAACCTCAGTCAACAGAGGAGACTCCCGGGCTTGGAGAGATGCCTGTGTCTTGTCAAGGGACATAGGGCCGCGTAGAGTTGGAGTTGGGGTCAGCTAACCTATTCTCCAAAGGGCCAGAGGTCCAATATTTTCAGCTTTACAGGCCAAACAGACTCAGTCACAGCTGTTCAACTCTGCCAGCTGTGTTATGAAAGTAGCCAAGGCCGACGTGTAAATGAACACATGTGGTTGTGCCAATAAAACTTTATTAACAGACAGACACTGAGATTTCATATCATTTCATGTGTCCCAAAATAATTCTTCTTCTGATTTTTTCAACCACTTAGAAACATAAAAGTCTTGGGGCACCTGGCTGGCTCAGTCGGTAGAGATGTGACTCTTGATCTCAGGGTCTTGAGTTCAAGGCTCACAATGAGTGTAGAGCTTACTTTATTTTTTTTTAAGATTTATTTATTTATTTGAGAGAGAAACAGAGTGAGAACATGAGTGGGGGAAGGAGCAGAGGGAGAAACAGACTCCCCGCTGAGCAGGGATCCCGACATGGGGCTCAACGTGCGGATCCATCTCATGACCCTGAGATCATGAATTGAGCCAAATCAAGAGTCGGACGCTTCACCGACTGAGCCACCCAGGCGCCCCAGAGCTTACTTTAAGAAACAAAACCAAACAAGAGCACCTGGGTGGCTCAGTTGTTAAGCATCTGCCTTCAGCTCAGGTCATGATCCCGGGGTCCTAGGATTGAGCCCCTCATCGGGTTCCCTGCTCAGCTGGGAGCCTGCTTCTCCCTCTCCCTCTGCCCCTCCCCCTACTTGTGCGTGCTCTCTCTCTCTCTCTCTGTCAAATAAATAAAACCTTAAAAAAGAACCACATAAAAGTCTGTTTCAGTGCCATGCTGCGTATATAAAGAAGGGTGACAGGCTGGACTTGGCCTGCAGACCTCTCCAAGCAGCTACACCATCTTGTCCAAGCTTTGAGCTGCTCTCCAGAGGCCCATGTGAAGGAGCCAAGAGGTGCTAGACAGAGGTTGGTGACACTCTTTGAAGGTCTTGGATCTAGCCAAGCCTGAAAGCAGTCAGATCAATGGGTCTCATCCGGGGGATGGGTGACACTGCCCCCCCAGGGGATACCAGGCGATGTTTGGGGATACCTGTGCTTGTCACACTGGGGGAGCTCCTGGCATGGAGGTGGTGTGGGCCAGGGATGCTGCTCAGTCTCCCCCCCAGCCCCCCAGTGCCCAGGATGGTTGCTCGATGCAAAGAAACATTTGTCTCCAAATGTCAGCAGTGCTGATGGGGAGAACCCTGAGTTAGATCTATCCCTGGATCTTTCAGTTCCATGAGCAAAAAAATTCCCATTTACAAAAAAAAAAAAAGCTAGTTTCAGTTGCAGTTTCTGTCACTTGCAACCAAAAGATTCTAACCAATCTGGGAGAGAAGACATTCATGCAGGGGGTTTTGGACATGGATGTGCAGACAGCTGGCCTTGGGTGGGCTCCTCCATGCAGGAGCAATAGCATGGCGGAAGGACAGGGGTCAGGGCCCATGCTTTATTTTGTTATCGGCTTAATTTTAGAACCGTAGGCAAGCTGCAAAGGTTGCGTGGAGGACCCTTGTGTGCCTGCCACCCTTCCCCTCGCTGAGAACCTTTCACCTTAGTGTGGGACATTTGTCATCCATATGCTAGTAACTAATCTCCTCTGTTTGTTTAAGATTTCTGTAGTTCTCCCTGATGTCCCTTTTCTGCCCCAGGACCCCACTGGGATCCCACACGACACTCAGTTGTCACATCTCCTTAGGCCCCTCTGGGATGTGATAGTTTACCGGACTTGCCCTGATTTTGAAGACTGGCCAGTGTTGACATCAGGTATTTTTTAAAATATCTCCTGAATGGAGTTTGTGCAATGTGGTTCTCTGGGTTAGACCGGGGGGGTGGGGCGGGTTTGGAGGAAGACCACAGAGGCCAGATGCCCTTCTCATCCGGTCCTCTCAGGGACCCCTGTTGTCCACACAGCTGCTGGGTCAATGGCCACAGAACTGTTTGCGCACTGGGCGTATCCATCAGAGCCAGAGCCGCGACAGATCCACCAGCGTGTTTGTGGATCGAGGGAGCAAGGCTGAGCCTGCTGTGAAATCTATCACCCCTCTGACTGTCGGCGGCGATTGCCTTTTTGTTTTCAAGGTTTTTTTTTTTTTATTTTAAGTAAACTCTACGCCCAATGAGGGTCTCAAACTCATGAGCCCAAGATCAAGAGTCGCATGCTCCGTGGACTGAGCTGGCCAGGCGCCCCCCTGATTGTCTTCTTGTTCTTCTGGTGAAATTCACATAAAATCAGGCATTTTCAATGATACAGTTCAATCGCTTTGAGTGCATGCACAGAGCTGTGCAGCCACCAGCTCCCCGGTTCCAGAACATTCCATCGTCCCTGAAACATCAAGTCCCCATCAGCTGTCACTCCCCAACCCTCGCCCTAGCCCCTGCTCCCATGGGCCCCCTTCCCGTCCGCAGATGAGCCTGTTCCGGACGTGTCACTCACGTGGACTCACACCCCGTGTGGCCTTCTGTGTCTGGCTCCCTCCCTGAGCGTCGTGGGCTCGGGGTCCGGCCCTGGGGCAGCGCGTGTGGGCGCCTGGCTCCTGTCCGTGGCCAAGGGATGCTCCCATGTGTGGGGGACCGTGTGTGTATCATCTGTTTGCACTTCTTGGCTATTATGAACCATGCCACCAAGAAGTGTTTTGTTTTCGGGG